TTTTGACCTAGTAGGAGTTTTTTCCTTTTATTTAGTGAATCAACAATAAAAACCTTTACTTGCCTTAAGTATTTTAAATCTATTTGGAAACAAAGGATTGTATTTAAGATGGTAAAATATATTTTTATTATTAGTCATTTATACTATTAATCATATCATGTGTGTAACTATGTATTTTGGACTAATATTAAATATTGTTGACCAAAAATACTATTGTATTATATTATATTGTTAATATTAATATTGTATTATAATATTAAAATATTTGGCAACAAATGAAGATATTTATGATGAAGAAATCTCTTATTATTTATTTATACAATTAATAATATATCCGGTGTAATTATGTATTTTTTTCCTAATATTAATTATTGTTGGCCAAAAATGCTATTAAATTATATTATTTTATATTGTTAATATAATATTAAACAATGTCACATGGACACCATCATATTTGGCCCAGCAAAACACCTGCGTATATATATTGAATTTATTGACTTTTTTTCATCGTTTCTTTTTTAATCTGATGGAAATTGTGTATTGCTATAGCAATATTGGGATTTATTCATATTTGGCTCAGCATAACACCTATTTTAACATTACATTTTTTTTTGTCATGACATTTTTTTTTTTAGACCAAATCAGTTGGTGCAACCGTTTATTCCTACACATAGTTTTCTGACATCAGGTTACCTGACGTATATTTGAAGGCCAGGATTTTTAAGAAACGGATGTGTGGTTACACAATTAAACCGTTATAATGCTAAATTAAATGCATAAACAAAACTTATAGTGTTGAGCATTATTAATCGTATATGTTAGCACATTATTTCTGATAGCCAATGACAGAGCTCGAGATCAGACATCAGATCCCACACAATGCTTATGAATGAAAGCAGGAGGGACTACAAAGGCCGCTGAGAGAAGATGTGTGTGTTTCCAGAGGGATCAACCTTGGGGAGACTGCTATGGAGGAGGGAGGGGGGTTTGTGCCGGGTTACGCGGTCCGCAATCGCTGGCGTATGTGAGGAATGCTGTGAAAGTGGAGGCTGCGCCCGTCTGCATGCTCACTCCTGCCTGTCCTCGTGTATTCCCTCTGCATCCGTCTGCCGCCTGTCTGCCGGCGTGTCGGGGGTTAATGCTGGGCGGATCTCTCTCTCTGTTGGAAGAGGCCATTGAATGGCTGCTTTCCACGGACAGCAAAAACATTGGTTAAGGGTGAGGGCGGATCTGAGGCTGCTGCGGAAACATGGACTGGAGCGTTGATTGGACCTGGAGTCGGATTAACGGTTTTGGCGTGCGTGAACATGGTTGGGCCTTGGAAGCAGACAGTGGTCTTTTTATGTTTCACTAGTAAAATTAGTCTTTGATTTTTACTAATAAATATTATTGGCCAAAAATAATAAAAAATATAATTTTTATGTTTTCATGATTTAAAAAATGGAGACCAACTTTATTCATCATTCTTTTTAAAATCTGATTCAAATTTTATATCACTAGAAAAATTATTTTATTAATTACCAAATAATTATATACAGTAGTCAACATTTGAAGTGCATCAAAAAAGTTAATCAAAGTTGTGCTAAGACAAGAACGGGTGTTGTTCAAAATTCATGTATAACTTTGATGAAAGGTTTTGATCCAAATGTTGACTACTGTATTATAATATATGTAATCATGTATAATATTAAGTAATATATTATTATTATTATTATTATAAATAATAATATGTATTTATAATAATTTTATTCATAGGCATTAGGCAACTATATAATTATTACTAGTAATACACAAACATAGAATTTATTATACATTTTATATATATATATATATATATATAATAAAATAAAAAATGCCACGTGATCTACTTTTTTGTATGTCATTCTTTTTTTAATCTGATTTGAAATTAATATTGCTAGCAAAATTGGGGAAAAAATTATCATAATTTTTTACAAAATGAATCAGACAATATTAGTTGGTGCAATTATTCCTACACATCCCTAGTTTTCTGATATTAAGTTTCCTGACATATTTTTGAAGGCCAGGATTTTGGTTTGTGGTTATAATGCCAGACAGTGGTTTAATATGCTTGTTAAGGTGTATTTAACGCCCCAGATTGACATATTTAGCTAAATTTCAGCAATTCTGCCGTTTTGTTTCTTTCTTTTATTCTTCCTTTTTCTGCTTCTCATCCGTTTTGAATGCATTCTAGACTTGAATGCCCCCCCACCCCCTATAATCCCCGTCACCTTTCGGGTGCCCCATCATATTTCAGTCGGGCAGTGATATGGTCCGCCCCGTCACTGACAGGCAGAAGGGTCCATGTTGTTTTGCTCCTGTGGGAAGGCCCAGTGTCACATGATGGAGTGTTTTATGGCACTAATGAAGTCCAACAGATTTGCCTCTGCGCTGTAACCTGGAAGGCCGGCTGTGTCCGACATCTCCGACGAACTCGTGTCAGGAGGAGGCGTGTCTGATCAGGATGAATTTAATGACGGGTTGCATTGACACACTGTGCTGCGCGTTTATAATCTTAGATGGGTCTGTGGTTATGTTTGATTGTATTATTTTAAATTTGTTAAATAATATTCACAAAACATTTATGGAATCTTAAGCAAAAAAACTGTTTTTTTATTATTATTAATTAAAAATATTTTGACATGTTTAATTGAATGTTTTGTTATTAATCCTTTTTAAATATTATTTTTTATATATAAAATTTAAGTAAAAAACAACAAAAACATTTCTATATTTTTCATACTGTGGAGTGTATACATTGAATACAGGACAATATTTTCTTTAAAAAAAATAGTGTAGGGAACAAATATTACAAATGTATTACTTCTGGTCCGATTCAACATACTAGAAATGTCAAGTCAAGTGCATTGCATTATGGGAAACAGCAAAAGTGTGAGCTGTTTGTATCTTGCACATTTTTTCAAATGTAGTATACCAGCATATTCTGTGTATACTGTTGTAGTTCTGCTACTGTGGTTGCGTGCTATTCTTGACATGTTTCTGGAACACGCTGTGTCTTTGTTGTGGTCTAGCAGGCGGCTAGTGTGAGTGTGAGACGAGGAAGATGACTTACAGACTGCTGTATTCATTTATTTTCGCACCCTGCGATGCACAAGCTTCACTTCCAGATGGCCCCGCGGCCAAACACGACTCTGAATCACTTCCTTCCTGCGGAATAAAGGCTCACAATGATGCAACTGACCTCAGATTCCCTTTTTTTGTGGATTTTATCACATTTGTTTTCATTAACGTGATGTTGCGGTCAACGTATGTTGTTTATTTGAGCCCCAAAATCAAGAAATAATGTTTTCCTTAAGGCAGGAGGACCAGTGAATAGGGTACAAATATTACTAATAGATATTGCCATGCTTTCCCAGTTGATTGATATTTCAGAAAACGTGTGATAAAAAATGTTTAAATTTGCTAATGAGACATTATCTAACATTGAACATTGGGTAAAGCCAAAATTCTTGTCAAAGTCAATGGTTTTTACAGAGGTCATCACTAGTGGCTTTTTTTTATTATTGCCATTGGCCATTAAGTGTCAGAAGTGGGCTTTTATTTTGACAGTGACGGGACTTATTTTGGCAGTGCCTGAACCAGTCCCTTTAAGGCAAGTCATTTCACTCAGCGGCCATCTTTGAAATGCCTCACTGCAGCTATTTCAGTCATGCAAGTACAGCTCCTAAATTTCTTCAATTTGTAATCACCAATGACATCTGACAAAAAACTGTCATAAATTTTGTTTCGAAACGCTCAAATCATGCTGGCTGGACCAGCAAATGCGCATGTGCGGTCCTAAGCGCACTTCAGAACACTTGCTGTTTCTCAATATCCGTTCTTAAGCGATCTTGCGTCCTTGTGTTCTCGTACTACGTCATCAACTCCATCAATTCCAATTCTCATGAACGCAAGTACAGAGGAAGGTACCCGGATGTGTTCTTGATATCGAGGATGCATCGAACACAGACATGAGAGAATCGAACCGTTAGAAATCCCAGAAGACGCTGCGGGCGGTCGATGTACGGAAGCCTGTAAGCTTTAATCTTCTCGTCCTCACTTAAGAGATTCCCACAAATACGTGACAGCTCGTGAAAGTAAACATTTATCCGTTGCTTTTGCTTAATTTTAATGAAGCGATAAAGACCTGAAGAAAGCGGCAGTGTTTTTATTGGCATATTAAAGGGTTAGTTCACCCAAAAATGAAAATTCTGTCAGTTATTACTCACCCTCATGTTGTTCCAGCCCCGTAAGACTTTCGTTCATCTTCGGAACACAAATTAAGATATTTTTTATTAAATCTGAGAGCTGGATCACTCCTCCATAGGCTTCTTAAGGGATCGAAACTGACCAGCCCAAAAGTTATTAAAGACATCGTTAAAATAGTGCGAGTGACTACAGTGGCTCAATCTTAAGTTTATCAAGCGACGAGAATACTTTTTGTGCGCAAAAAAACAAACAAAAATAAAGACTTTATTCAACTAATCATTTCCTTCTCTGTACGGCCGTGATATTTCACGTAGTGATATTGCGCAAAGCTTCTAGGTTTCACGTCACACGCAGGCTCACTATTGGCCGACGCTGGTCATTGCGCAGTTTCACTACTTGAAATCTCGAGGCCCAGAGAAGGAAATGAATAGTTGATTAAAGTCGTTATTTTTGTTTGTTTTTTTGCGCACAAAAAGTGTTCTCGTCAAGAATTGTCATTTTTGGGTGAACTAACCCAACATTAGTTTTGTTACATTTGTTTAATGTTGCATAGGCAACATTAAACAAATGTACTGTAGCTAAAATCTACAGATGCAAAAAGATAAAGTGCAATAAAATACTAGTGTATTTTGGATGTTTTCTTTCCATTAGGTTTAAACACATTATGGAAAGCCCAATATCTCTGACCAGTGCACGAAAAGCAATGTTTTTGCCTGTAGTAAAATTAATCTAATAAGTTATCTTTGTTCTTTTCTCCCTTTTTCCCATCACAGTTTGTCCTTCCGAATGTGCCCACGGTGCCTGTACGCCCCATAAGGAGTGCTGTCACGATCAGTGTCTGGGCGGCTGCTCTTTGCCAGGGAACGCTACCAAATGCGTAGCTTGTCGCAACTTCCTGTTCGGCGAGGCGTGCGTGGAGCGTTGCCCGCTGGGATACTACACCTTCAAGGGATGGCGCTGCGTGTCCTTAAAATTCTGCCAGGACCTCCACAACCAGTGCAAGGGCAAGAGCGGCGACTGCCACGAGTACGTCATCCACAACGGGGCCTGTATCCCAGAATGCCCGTCTGGATACACCACCATGAATTCAACCACGTACGTACTGGCTTTTTGTTTTTAACTGCCAACCGTTAAACAGCATTGCACTTTACAATCAACTCAAATCAGGTTTTGCTCCGATTTCGACTCGAGTTGACGAGGAACAGAGACTTTTCAGCAGCACAGACTGAGATTTAGGAGCCTGAGGTAGATGAATAAATCACAAGAGAAGACAGAGCTGAATTAAAAGGCCGAGACGGTCGCGAGGAGACGCTTTTGTCCACGGCAGGGAATATATCAGGGAATGTTAACTGCAAGAGTCTAGCATTCAGAAATGGGTCTCAAAAGTTCACAGGTCACATTTCACCGTGAAATCACAAGGAAAAGTCAGAAATAATGTTCTGAATTTGAAAGAAAATAAAGACTTTTTAAGGAATATGTAAGTCTTTGTTTTCTTTAAAATGTATAATTATGTAAAATAAATCTAAATTTTATTGTTTATATATATATACTACGTATATTATTTAAAAATATATAATTCAATCATTTTTAATTTTATTAAATTAAATTAACATTTGTTTACTGTTATAAATTTAGAAATGTATGCATTAACGTAATAAGAATTACCATTGAGAATAATAATTATAAAAAAAACCTATAAAATAAAATGTCTGGATACATTATGCAAGCATTGTCACATTTTCTCATTTTTTGCTTGCATAATGTATCCAGACATTTTATTTTATAGGTTTTTTTAATAATTATTATTCTCAATGGCAATTCTTATTACGTTAATGCATACATTTCTAAATTTATAACAGTAAACAAATGTTAATTTAATTTTATAAAATTAAAAATCAAATATGATTGAATTATAATGTTATGTCATTATTAATAAAGTAAAGGATTCATTTATTTAAAATATTTTAATTGTAAAAAAAAAACAATACAATCTAAAATAATCTTAAATAAAATGACTTGCGTATTTTTGGCATTTACATTATTTTTACTCTATTCTATATTAATGCACTTTTTAAATTATTATTAATGGTGATTTGCATTACTGTACAATTCATTTATTAAAATCAATTAAATGATTGAATTATTAAAATAGTAAATTATTTAAAAATGTATTCAAAAATTTTAATTAACGACAATGAGGAAAATGAATTGTCGCTTAATTGTCATGAAAATATTAAATAATTTAAAAGAAAATGAAGCAAAAATATAACTTTTTTGTGTGTGTGTGTGTGTGTGTGCGCTGAAATTTGATGTTTTTGACAGATTTTGTGAGATCCCCCCCCCCCCCCCCCTTTATATAAATGACTAAATCATGTGCTTCAGGCATGAAGCTGCAGTTTCTGGTTAAGGCTGTGATTTGTTTTTGGTCGTTTAGCAAATTAACGAACCGGTTGTCACGCTCAACTTGACCGGGAGAAGATATAACTGTTCTGGAAGTATCATAACATCGTTTAGTCTTTTCGTCAGTCACGGTAAATTGAAAACGAGCAGATTATAATGGCCGGTGTCAAGTGTTAAGAGTGTGATAAAATGCCACCCTGATTATTCCAACAGAGTCATTTGCAATCCGGCGGGATTTGTCAAGCCAAGGGGAAGTATAATGAGCCAAACCAAAACAACATTGCGTGTCGGAAAGCGACATTAGCGGCCTTTTTAAAAAAAATTTTTTAGCCTGAGTCTGTTTGGCTGGCCCGGGAATGTCCGGAAGCTCCCGCACATGCTGGCTTGCACGTCGAGCTTCATGTGTGGGAATTATTAACGCACAAATAAACAGAGAATTAACACTGCGAACGGGACTGAAGCGCAGCCTCGCGGGAACAATGGCAGCCTTTGTTTGCGTTCACTGGGGTCTCGGGGCCTTTAAAAAGGTGGCCTTTGGATTCTTTTGTCTCCACGTCGGAGCGCTGCAGTTGTGGAAGCTTGATGAGATCTCGGTTTTCCAGGAATTTTGTTTTGAAGTGACGTCACTCACTTGTTTTTCTCGTCCGGCCACCTTTCGCCTTTGTGGGAGGCAGTCATGCGGCTGTAAGTCCTGTTTCATAACAGCGAGCCCCATCCTTCCCTGTTATTCTCCAAATGAGAAGAGGGAGCAGCGGGAACCAAAAGGGGACGTAATAAGAAGGGGTTAAAATGCACAAATTCACTGCGAATCTGTGTGGTGTGGACCTCCAAAACTGGAAGGGGAATTAAAGAGTGGGATTATGTGCTTAAAAATCCTGAGAGAGAACACCACTCGTTTGCGAATGACCTGATGTGCTCCGTTAGATTAGCTCAGTTAGCTCTGAAGATTATTTCATCGTTGCGAACAAAACCGTGCACTAAAACATAAAATGGCAGTTTCCTCCCCAGTATTCAGTGGTGTCGCAATACCAAACTACTGCACTTTAACATTAAGTGCGATCTCATAACTCTCATGAATCCAAATAGTGACTGGTGTAATCTGATTCCTGAATGACTCTTATGAGCCGATTCTTTTTAGCGAATCAAAAACATACAATGCGACTAGTGTAATCCGATTCCTCAAAATGACTCTTATGAGCAGATTCTTTGAATTCAAATATACAGCCCTGTTTACATCTGGTATTAAGATGCGTTTTGGTCGATCGGATCACAAGTAGACGAGGGAGACATTCCTGTTTACACATGGTGTTTTAATCCATCTCTTTTGTTCACTTTCAACCACTTCTGTCCTATTTCTTCGAGGGGAGGGTCCATGGGTGGGTAAATGTATGGGTGTTTTTTCAGATCTTTCAATCTAATGGACACATTTACATATGAATGCGCCCGGAGACGACGGAAAAACACGGAGAGTAGCAGCTTTCGTTTCTGCTCTGACAGCCACGAGAGTGTGTTAGAAATCAGGGATGGTGAGAGAACATTGTGCTGGGAACATTTTTCATCCTCAGACCAAACTTGGGTCTCCAGCTGACAACGTTTATATCCTGTAGCGCTAGAACGCTTCCCATAACGTTTACCATTAGGTCTTTAGGCGGAGGGTAGGTGGTCTTTTGTGTCTTATCGAACTCATTCGACCACATTATGTTTACACTACGAAAACCAATCTGGTCGAATGAGTTTTCGACTACCTCTGGAAGTGGTCGAAAGTGGACAAGCATCATAACGTTTTACACCCCATTTACACCTGCATTTGGCATTGTCCACTTGTGATCCGATCGACCAAAACGCATTTTAATACCAGGTGTAAACAGGGCCTATGACTAGTGTAATCTGATTCTGGAATGAATGACTCTTATGAGCTGATTCTTTTTTTAGTGATTCAAAAACATACAGCACATCCAGTATAATATAACTCTCAAAGGAATGAGAAGGAATGTTTTTAAAGCGAATCAAAAAGCTTAAAGTTTATTAATCAAATAACAATGTGTAGTTAAAGATAAGTATTTTGATCAGTAGTGTTATATAAATGCAACTTTAAGTTCAAAAACTTTATTTTTGTTTGTTATGTGTAATGTATATTTAAGGCCAAATATTTGATTGCCTAAAAAATATGTATATGTAAATATACACATGTAAATGATATATACAATGTATATATATGTATTGTGTGTGTGTGTATGTGTATATATATATATATATATATATATATATATATATACACACACTGTTTGTAAATAATATACACTGTATATACACATACATGTGTGTGTATATATACACGCATATAAACACAAACACGTAATAATATATTACGTTTTTTTTTTTTTTATATATATATATAAGTCTGCCGTTCTTGACCTGTTTTTTTGGTGTAAAGTCGAATATGAAAGCTCTAAATTAATTTGGAAAAATAGCAGTGAATTCCTCTCCCACCCATTGCTGCATTTTAGCAAGATTTGAGTGAGATTACATAACGTTACTCTCTTGTTTTGTCAAAAAGTGATCAAATTAAGCAACAGAATTATACAGATCAGGGATTCATTACGCGATTATTTCTTTCCACTGTATCTTTCAGTGCAATTGCCCATTCTTGCGTCAAAAGGCCTCATCTTCATATGGGACAGGCAGAGCGGGTGTTTGCCGTGATGTGGAGCTTGCATACTTCAAGGCCAACACAACTATCTGTGGTATTTTGTTTTGTCTCAGTGGGATTGTTTTCACGTTTGCCCTCAGTGGCCCTTTCAATTCAGATGCATTGCAGCATTACAGCTTGAATGGAGCCCACGATACCGTTACACCGTATTTGGGATCGTTCCAAACACAACAACAGCGCAGGTGACATGAGGGAACAATATGTTTGGGCAATCGTAAAAAGTCGTGCCAGCTGGTGACATCATCGAGTATGCATTTTTAAAGCAACAGCCAGACGTGTCTTTGCTCTTAATTAAAAACATGACTGTCATGCTTTCAGGTTGAACTGCACGCCATGTGCCGGTCGATGTCCCAAACTGTGTACGGGGGTGAAGACTGTGGACTCGGTCACCGCCGCTCAGGCTCTGCGGGGCTGTACGGTCCTCAACGGCAGTCTGATCATCAAGATCAGCGGAGGAAGTGAGTATTGGACACTTTGAAATGTCTTTGAAAGCATATTCATTGCATTTACGTACATGAATTTTTGTCTGTTTCTTCAAAATCCTTTGCACTTTTTTTCTGTTAGTTTTAATTTATTATTCATTATATATAAAAAAGCAATTAATAAAGAATAATATAATATTTAAAATGTTATATTGTATTATTATTAAATAGAATAAGATTCTATTAAGATTCTTATATTTTTTATTTATTTAAAAAAAAAATATATATATATATATATATAAATCAGACAACGGAATATAAAAATAAATGGCTAATAATTATATTTTTGTATAATAATTTGTATAACGAATAATAATAAATACAAAAATATTTTTTAATAAAAATGCAATTTAAAATTAAAAATACAGTTTATTTATAATTTTATTTATTTATAAGGATATAATGTAACATAACGTTTTAAACGCATTCATTATAAAAACCTAAAACATTTATCTTAAATAACTAGACAGCTGAAAATAAAATAAAATGTATGTAAAAATTAAATACAAATATGTAAAATATTTATATAATAAAGTTATTTATAATATTATGTATTTATAAATATATATTAAAATATTTGTATAGATAAAACAAGATTTTATTTATAGATAAAAAGATTTTATTTGTCAGTTTTCTTTATTTTATTATTACATATTTTTTAATGTTTAAAAAAAATCTTTGCAATGGGTTGATTTTAGCCTGTTTTATCCTTTAGCCAAATTTCTGACAGTTTTCAGAATACTAAGAATTGTAATGTTATATTTATATTAAACCATTATAAATGCTTATTGGGCCAATTATTTGAACTCCAAAAAATCTTTATTTAAAAAAAAAAAAACTAAATTAATACATATTATTATTTAAAAATATATAGAGAGATTATTATTATTAAGGAAAAATAAATCCATTCCAAATACATAAAATATTTATAGAATATTAGTAATTTTATATATTTATTAAAAAAATGTAAAAACTGTATTTAGAAATTGAGCATCATTATACAAAACTGTTTTAAATTTCTGATTGCTATGATTGACCAATTAGAGTCAAGCATTTCAGATAGCCGTATAAGTAGTTTGTTTTTGCATACAGTAATATGCATCTAAATAGCAGTATGTGTGAAATGAAATCGTGTGAAGTTTCATACATATAAAAACACATGTTCTGTTCCTCAGACAATATCGCGGCGGAGCTGGAGTCCAGTCTGGGTCAGCTGGAGGAGATCACGGGTTACCTGAGCATCCGCAGAGCCTACGCTCTCGTCTCCCTCTCCTTCTTCCGCAAGCTGCGTGTTATTCGCGGGGAAGCGCTGGAAGCCGGGTATGTAAGACATCACTGCTGAGCTGTGTTGTTGGAGTTACAAGTGACTGTCATTTGTAGTGATTGATTTATTGAATTGCCAATGTCTTGTTCTCAGCGCTGTCAAAATAAAAGTTCTGCACGCTGTCAAAATAAACATCGGCCAAACAAAAAAACATACCGATACCGATAATTGAAAAAAATGCTGTATGTATTGGTCGACTACTAGTAATTTGCATTGTGTACGGTCATTCTTTCTAGGAACTATTCGTTCTACGCCATGGACAACCAGAACTTGCGGCAACTGTGGGACTGGTCCAAACACAACCTCACCATCCTCAACAGCAGGATGTTTTTCCTCCACAACACCAAACTCTGCAAGTCTGAGATCCTCCGGATGGAAGAGGTGACCGGGACCAAGGACAGGATCCCTAAAAACGATATCAGCATCCCAGCTTATGGAGACCAGGCCTTCTGTAAGACCCACAGTGCTTTTGGTTTCACTGGAGCTTGAGCTTTGTCAAACCAGACCTCATATCGAACCTCTCTTACAGGTGAAAACCAAGTTCTGGAATTTACACAAATCCGCACATCCCACGACAAGATCCTCATCAGGTGGGAGCCGTTTTGGCCCTCAGACTTCAGAGACCTGCTGGGATTCATGGTCTTCTATAAGGAAGCGTGAGTTTTTTCATCTCTTTTATACTTGACTATCGGGATATTGCCTTGATCTGACCCAAATGAAGCCTGAAATTTAAAAGGTGTCACATCTGAACCACCTGAAGCCATCCTATGTTGTTCCTGGACTCTTAACTTAACCATAAACTGACCCTGATTTAGAAACAATGTTATTATAGTTTTGAAAATGTCACACGTTAATTTTTTTATTTAGGTTGTATTTAGATTTTCAGTTTGGTTGAAATTGTTACTTTTATTTATACATAGTCATATTCCAAACATAAACACAAAATAATTCTAAGTTTTGGTTTTATTTACTTATAATGTTTACAAAAGTATTATTAAAATACTATTTATATATTATTTATTTAACTGTTATTAATGAATACAAATTATATTTTATGTCATACTCGTTTTTACATTTTTCTTTAAATTGCTTTGAACTTGAAAGCGTTAAAATTATTTTATTTTAAATATAAAAATATTCATTATCATTAGTTAGTAGTAAAATTATATATTATTAGAATTCGCTAATAAAAATGTTGTACCATGTCCTCCTTCTGTAAACTGCTTTAAACATTGAAAGCATGAGATTTTTTTTTTTTTTTTTAGAATTCGCTAATAAATATTAAATAATAAATTAAATAAATTATTATATATTTAATTATGATTAATAATTATTACTAAACACGTTTTAATTATAATTGTGATTACTTAGTTAAATATATAACTAAATATTATAAAAAATATAAATAACTTTTTATATTTAATAGTTAATCTTGAGTAAATTGCTTTAACCATTGAAAGAATGTAAAACCTAACTATTTTAATACTTAACAAAAGTAATAATTTAATAATAATCAATTAATAAACTTAATTAATTACATTTTTGTATATTTCATTATAATTAGTTAATAAAAATGTTGAAAGTACTTTTTTCTCAATAATTATATATTATTATATTTAACAGTAATTAGTTCATTAAAAAAGTTCCCAAGTGCTACGTGTATAAAGTACATCATCTATGAAAACATGAAAATAAATATATTGTCTCTTCTCCCATTCAGTCCCTATAAGAACGTGACTGAATATGACGGACAGGACGCCTGTGGCTCTAACAGTTGGGCGATAGCTGACGTGGAGCCTCCGCAGCGCGTCACCGAGGGCAACCAGATAGAGCCGGGTCACCTCGTCATGCCTCTGAAGCCCTGGACCCAGTACGCCATCATGGTCAAAACCCAACTCGCCGCCTCTGACGACCACCAGGTCCGCGGGGCCAAGACCGAGATCATCTACGTGCGCACCAACGCCACGCGTAAGTTATAGCAGCTGTCTGGGACCTGAGGACGTGTTTTATCAGGAGGAGTTTCTTCTCATTATTTTGGTTCTTAAGCAACAACAAGCAATAAGATATAAGATATACACACAAATATACATGTAATTGTAATAAATATATAACTATAATAATTGAATGATTTGGAGGGGTGTCCCAATACTTTTGGTAATATAGTATATATACATACATATATATCCATAAATATGTTACAAATGCATATTCAATTATAATTGTATTAAATTATTATTATATATACATTTTATTATTTTATAATATTTTTATACATATAATTGTAATTATAATGAATGTACAATTTTAATGTAAATTAATTTAAAATTGCAATGTGTGTATATATGTACGCAACCGTTTCTTCTCAGTCCATCAGCCCTGTAGCGTGATGTGAATGAACTGACTCGTGAAAGCTTGTCATCTGAGAACCGAAAGCTGAAGCTGCTCTGTTTCTAATGTGTAACAGGACCCTCAGTGCCACTGGACCCCATTTCCCGGTCCAACTCCTCCACGCAGATCATTCTGAAGTGGAAGCCGCCCTCCGATCCCAACGGAAACATCACCCACTACATCGTCTTCTGCCAGAAGCAGAACGAGGACATCACGCACTACAAGTTCGACTACTGCCAGCAAGGTAGATTACCAGTATGTTTGTGTGCCTTCAAGCTCCGCCTGTACCGTTAGACGTCCAATTGCTCATTAAGTTCTTTGTGTCCACTATACAGGGATGAAAGTGCCGTCCCATACGCCTACACACCATGACATTGAAGAAGACCAGAAGTGGAACCAAACGGAGGTGCCCGACGAGAAGGGGCGCTGCTGCGCCTGCCCCAAAACAGAGACGCAGCTGAAGAAAGAAGCAGAAGAGTCTGAGTTCCGCAAGACCTTTGAGAACTACCTCCACAATGAAGTGTTTGAGCCCAGGTACACAACACGACAGGGATTTATGCATTTATAACGGTCCTTGTCCTGGCATCAGCGGTCATTTCCTTGTAAATTACATTTTCACGTAGACTTAAAAATACACAGTACATATGTCATATGTGTCAGCAGAATACTGATAAACTGGTCATTATTTTAATGTTATGACAGGTGACTGATAAGTAGCTGATAACTTTTATATAAAAATATATTATAATATAAAAGTTTTCTTTTTTTTAATCAGTTTTAATTTTAGTTTAGTTCTTGTTAATGACTCTCCCTCCCTCTCTCTCTCTCTCTCTCTATATATATATATATATATATATACACAATATATAGTAATTTTATAATATGATACTGTTTTTATTATCTTTTTATAATCATCTTTATTATCAGCTATTTAATATTTTAATAGTTTTGTTATACTTTTTTAACAGTATACTATAATTAACAGTTTAATTTATATCTGATATTTATATTTTATTGCAGCTTTATTTCAAATAAGAAAAATGTTTTAATAGTGAATACTTTTAATTCTGTTTGTATCAGCTATTTATAATTTATCAGCTATTTATTTAATATTAACTATTTGTATTCTTAATACAGTTGTAAGTAATTATATTATAATTTGTATTTAAAAAATATATTAAATGAATAGAATTTTTTCAACCTGTATTAAATGTGATTATTACAATTAATCACTATTTTATATGTAGTTAAACGCAGATGACTACACAATTGCTCCCATTTATAACCATTTTGTAAGCCAACTTTAATGCAGAAACACAAAGCACGATATGCTCCGTCCATCTGCCACATTGGTCACTCTGTACATGGTACACCTTGTGCATTTCCTCTGAAGCGATTAATGGTTCCTGTCCATTCTTCCCTGTAAGCACCATCCCGTAGGGACGTATTTTCGTATGTGCCAGTCTGGAAAGCAGCCATGAGGACTGCCATGAGTATCTTGCTGTGGGTTAATCCTGTGCAGAGTCCCATGAATAGATCGCTGTAGTATTAAATGGGCCCTTACTGTTCTGTTGAACATCAAGGATCTATAGCGCCATCTACTTGCTTATTGCCACATTGCAGCTTATTCAGCAAGTGACCATTTGACCATGTAAATTACTGATTTTACTATAAATATTGGCAGTACAATTTAGTTTTTTAAAGCTGGCCAGAAAACACAACTAACCCTTTATTGTGTAGCATTGGAGCTAAACCAGTTGTTTATTTAGGTCTGTTCGCTCTGACTGAAACTCATTTTTCACTGTCAACCCGCAGGCCCCACCGACGGCGTCGCTCAGTGGGCGTAGCCAATGCTACGTTGCCAAATTTTGCGATCACACCGTCCAGCCTGCCCAACTTTGCCACCACTTCAATCCCAGAGGAGGACAAGAGCCGGAAGATGGTGTTCAAAGCCAGCTCCAAAGAGTCCACGGTCATCTCCGGCCTGCTCCACTTCACCAGCTACCAGATCGAGATCCAGGCCTGCAACCACCCCACAGACCAGAACCGCTGCAGCATGCCTACATACGTCAACGCCCGCACGCTGCCTGAACGTAAGACCACCGGACCGCCTTTCACATAATACAGGATACAGAAAGCTTTGGATTTATGTTGTAATGTGTCTCCTTCCCGTTTGTGTTCCTAGTCAAATCGGACAATGTTGTCGGGCCAGTGACTCATGAATTTATTCCTGATGAACCGGAATTCGTCTCCATCAAATGGCAGGAACCGAGAGCACCCAACGGCATGATCATACTATATGAAGTCAAGTTCCTGAGGATGTCGGATAGCTATGTAGGTGTTTAATTCATTCTAAAGAAAGTCAATATTTCTACGTTTCAAAATATACATATACAAATAAATATATAATATATACATATAAATATATAATACTTCAGAATAACTTATATTTACACAGCAAAAAAAATCAAACATTCCAGACAAGCAACTTTTTTACTCAGGCAATTGAATGACCGATTTACTTGACTTCACATGACAAGGCTTAATGTTGAGCCCTGTGTGTGTGTGTGTGTGTGTGTGTATATATATATATATATATATATATATATATATATATATATACACATACATATATATATATATATATATATATATATATATATATATATATATATATATATATATATTAGGGCTGTCAAACGATTAATCACGATTAATCGCATCCAAAATAAAAGTTTGTGTTTACATAATATATGTGTGTGTACTAGGGGTGTGCCGGTTTCAGAATTGGTGATGACGGTTATGACGCGAGTCAAATGTGACGGTTCGTAACATAACCGTCGTCGTGGTTTTGATACATTTCCATTAAATGTATCTCACAGTAAACAAATCCTTAACAAACAAAACAAACAAACAAACGTTGCAATGAACGTGCTTTGTTTTAAATAAATCACACACAGTAAACAAAACCTTAACGAAAAAACTTTGGAATGAACTTTGCAATTTGGACGCGCAAACTGCGTTCCGGTGCGGTGAGACGTGCATGTTCGGGCAGATTCGGCTTGAAGTCGGTCATCCTCGGACGCGGCGCCGCGCGCGCTGTTACAAAAAAAGCCGTGCACACAGCCAAGCCAAATGGGGTCTTGCCGGTGTTGCGCACCGAACGCGTCATTTTTGCCGCGCTCACCTTCGCGATCGTGCGGACGCGTCGAGTTTAAACAAGGCTTTAATCCGTGTCAGCGCGCGCTCTGATCGGTAAAGTACAGACAGACCTCTCCCGAATCATCTCCAGCAGTAGCAGCCTCCGTTTCCCTCTTAAGCTGATATTAGTATTTAAACATACTCTATTATAAAAAATGTTTGTAAAAAATATTTTAATAGCACGGTTTTGGCGGTTATAGAGTTCTAATGACGGTGTTCAACTATAACCGTCGGTCTCACGGTTATATAATAACCGTCACACCCCTAGTGTGTACTGTGTATAATTATTTTGTATATAAATGCACACATGTATATATTTAAGAAAAATATGTTATTTATATATAAAATGTTTATATTTACCGGTATATAAAATATACATTATATATAGGCTACATTCAGTCTATATACAGTATATACATGCAAATATTTCTTAAATACACATGCATGTGTGGGTATTTATGTATTAAAAATAATTATACACAGTACACACACATATATTATGTAAACACAAACTTTTATTTTGGATGCGATTAATCGCGATTAATTGTTTGACAGCCCTAATATATATATATATATACACATACATGCATGCATACATACGGTATATATATTAAAGGTGCTCTAAGCGATGTCACGCGTTTTTTAGGCCAAAACATTTTTTGTCACATACAGCAAACATCTCCTCACTATCCGCTAGCTGCCTGTCCCCTGAACACACTGTAAAAAAAACGCGGTCTCTGCAGACAGCCCAGGCTCCACAAACGGCAACAAAAACAAACTGCGGCGACCCGCTCCCCGAAACATAACAAACTGTTCCAGCCAATCACCGACAAGAAGGGTTTGAGGGGTTAGTGCACGGATGAGGAGGAGGGAGGGTCTATCTAGCCTCCGTTTTGTTTGACAATAGTTCGAACGTCAACAAGAAGTGACGTCACCCAGGATCGCTTAGAGAACCTTTAAATACATTTTTTTATATAATTACATGTTTTATATATATATCAAATTTGAAATACATTTATTATTAATATACAATTTTATGCCTCCTTGTCCCTTAGGAGGATCAAATCTGTGTGTCCAGAATCACTTATGAGAAAAATCATGGCTGTCGATTAAGAGTAGGGCATCCTGGGAATTACAGTGTGAGAGTCCGCGCCACCTCGCTGGCCGGCAACGGTTCCTGGACAGAGCCTGTTTACTTCTCTGTTCAAGACAGTAAGCTTTATTGTGTTCATATTTTTTTACTGTTAATTTGTCCACTATGGTCTCTAATATACATGTTTTGCAGGGGAAATGAACATGAAAATCATCATTGGCCCAGTTATCTGCTTCATTGTACTGCTGTTTCTGGCCAGTACAGTCTTTATTGTCCTTAAGAAGAAGTATGCATAAGACACTATTAAATTAAGCCCTTATTTGTCATATAGACAGTGCTCTCATGTAATAATTTTTTTTTCTCCCAGACAAACTGAAGGACCGACTGGCCCATTAATTGCTTCCTCAAACCCAGAATATTTAAGTGCAAATGATGGTAAGATAGAATTTTAGATTTAACCCAATTAATAAAATCGATAATTAAAAGATTGTCAACAAATGTTATTGATAAATGTGTGCTTATACTGTATATTATGTTTATATCTTATCCACTTTTTTTAATTAATAATTTTAAAAAGACTACTAAACAAGTATGACTTTTATAAATAAAATCTTTGACCAAATCACTGGAATGAAACATATACATTATTTTTATAGCCTTTAATTTTATATTTCACGCAGAGCAAAATAAAGTTTGGAATTTTTATCCAATCAATCAAAGAAATAATCAAGTGTCTAATTGGTTACCAGAAGAGTTGTTAGATGCAGCAATATAATAAAAAAAATTGTGTACATTTATTTTTGTTTTAATTTATAGCTTTCTTTTTTGGTAAGCAAAACAAAATATAACACAGGAATTAAAATTTTGCTTCAATTAATAGAAGAAATAAATTAACAATAGTTGGGGTTATCAGATCAAATGTGTCCACCTCTGCTTTGTGATAGTAATACTGAGTTTGTGTGTTCGCAGTGTACATCCCAGACGAATGGGAGGTGCCTCGGGAGAAGATCAACGTTTTTAAAGAGCTCGGTCAGGGATCGTTCGGAATGGTGTACGAAGGCATCGCTAAAGACATCGTGAAGGGCGAGCCGGAGACGCGAGTGGCCGTAAAAACCGTCAACGAGTCTGCTAGTCTGCGCGAGAGGATCGAGTTCCTCAACGAGGCTTCAGTTATGAAAGCATTTAGCTGCCATCACGTGGTGAGTGTGGATGTCCTTGAGAACTGAAATAATCCAGGCGAAAACGACCTTGTCTAAATGTTTGACGTGTTCGCCTAGGTCCGCTTGCTCGGTGTGGTATCTAAGGGGCAACCATCGTTGGTCGTCATGGAATTGATGACGCACGGAGATTTGAAAAGCTACCTGCGTAGCCTGAGACCTGATTCTGAAGTAAGACTTCCTGTTTCTGTTGTAGAACGACCCCTTATCCCCAATTGTCATATCCCGGACGAGCCCCCAATTTTGTTAACCCTCACTGAGGGCATTATAACAGTAAAGTTAATTAAATGCTGCCATTTTGATGCTAAATAACCCAGTTTCCCTTCAGCTTCAATGGCTATATGAGTCCACGAGACATCACAAACAATTATTAACAGTATCCTTTGGCCGTGACAATTGATTTAATGGTTTTTTTTTTTTGTTACAGAATAACCCAGGCCGTCCACCACCAACCCTGAAGGAGATCATCCAAATGGCAGCGGAGATAGCAGACGGTATGGCATACCTCAACGCTAAAAAGTTCGTCCACAGAGACCTTGCTGCCAGAAACTGCATGGTGGCTGAAGATTACACTGTGAAAATTGGAGGTAAGCAGACCAGAATTGAGCATATTCAGGGTCAAACATGGGGTTCGAAGGGCAAAAGATCTTGATTTTGGTTTTTATTGCAGATTTCGGAATGACGCGGGATATCTATGAGACTGATTATTATCGCAAGGGCGGGAAAGGCTTGCTGCCCGTCAGATGGATGGCGCCAGAATCTCTAAAAGATGGCGTTTTCACCGCTCACTCTGACTGCTGGTGGGTATTTCTTTGGGTTTGGGGGATTTTTTTGCTAGCCAGTTCTAGAAGAACATTTAGATCACCTGCAAGCAACTGGTCAAGAAATTCCTTGCCGATCCTGTTGGGTTGTCCATTTCTGTTCCTGGAGTGCCACTATCCTCCAGAGTTTAGCGCCGATCCTAATTTAACATACCTAAACCGTCGAATTAATGTCTTTGAGATTACTAGGTGTTGGAGCCAGGATTGAGCTAAAGTCTGCTGGACACTGTCCCTCCAGGAGTAGGATTGGACACTCCTGGGTTAGGGGACAGAGGTTCCACCTAAATGAAAGGAAATGTGATCAGTCCCAGCTTATTGAGCTTATTGAGCAGTACTGTAATTAAAAGTCTGTCCACTTTCAGGTCTTTTGGAGTGGTATTATGGGAGATCAGCACGCTTGCCGAGCAGCCTTACCAGGGACTGTCCAACGAGCAAGTGCTCAAGTTTGTCATGGATGGAGGATACCTGGACAGACCGGAGAACTGCCTGGAGAGAATGTAAGTACTGACGTGGAGGTAAACTTTGCTGAAAAGACCATCTTAGACCATCATGATATTTTGCTGGTTTACCCTAAGAAATCTGTTTACATTCCCAGTATCCAAAACTAGTGAATACTTTTTTTACTGAAACAGAAATGTAAGTGTTTTAATTTAGTAGAAAACTAAAAGTTTCAAATTGAGTAATTGAACTTATGCTGTTCAGGATTTTTTTGCACACCCATCAAGGAGACACGAGGCTTGGAGATGGAGATTTAAGTAGTAAGATTGTCTTCTCTCTCTCTAACTCTTCTCCCAGACACAGCCTCATGCAGATGTGTTGGCAGTACAACCCGAAGATGCGGCCCACCTTCCACGAGATCATCGAGATGATCAAGGAGGACCTGCATCCCACTTACCATGAGGTCTCCTTCTTCTACAGCGAGGAGAACAAATTGCCTGAGAGCGAGGATTTTGATATGGACTTCGAGAACATGGAGAGCATACCACTGGACCCCTCATCCTATTCCCAACGCGAGGAGAGCCTCAGTAGAGACAACGGCCCCTCGGTGGGCCTACGGGGCAATTACGAGGAGCACGTGCCCTATACGCATATGAACGGTGGAAAGAAAAACGGCAGAATTCTGTCTTTACCCAGATCTAGTCCGTCCTAACATTTGCCTCGGCTTTTCCTCTCTCGATTTTTTTTTTTTTTTTTTTTTTTTAAATAAAAGTTTTTAAATGTGTTATTTTTGCAGAGGCCCTTAAAGATACACAGATCTCAGGTCTTTTTTGTTGTTGTCGTCGTTTCTGTCTCACGCTACACTAGTATGGTTACAACGAAAATGGACGTTTTATCATCCGGCACACCATACGCTTTCTGACACTTTTACACTTTTGCCAAGTTTCCAAGACAGTTTGGTTGGGCAAACTGTGAACATGACTAAATCAACCAGAAAAGCTGCTTCAGCTACATCACCTCAAAGTCCACTTCCTTTTCCCTGGATGCTTATTTCCTGTCTGTCTGTCTTTTGTTTTGTTTTGTTTTTTTAAGTGGAAATCTTTTGAGATAGTGGCCTTTTATTATGTGGCCTATAAAAAAAGAGAAGTGTCTATCAATGCTTGTGTTAATTTCTTTAGAACAATGACTTTACAGTGTGGAACTATGGGATGGCTTATATTCTTTTAGAACAAACTTTTGTTTTCTAGAGGAATGAATTTTTATTTTGTCCTGGAGAATTCCTGAATTCACATAGATGATTTTCACATGGTTTTCTGGTGAATGAGGTTTAATTTATTTGCTTTTATTATTTTATTTTCCTCTGAGCTTTTTACTCCTGTGTCCTTTTTACCGGCTGAAGGATATTTAACAGTTATGAATTGGACAAAAGAGTTACTCAGACTGACCAATAGCTGCTGCTCTGATATAAAGTGGGTATTTTATTTTATATATATATATATATATGTATGTGTATATATATATATATATATATATATATATATATATATTGGTATCAGTATTTTAAATATACTATCCACAACATCTGAACTTTTGTACATAATTCTAATGTCTTTTTCTAATGTCTTCATCAGCTTTGCTTGTACAATATTTTTTTGGGAAAATATTTTTTTTGTGAGCTGTTTTTTTATTTTATTTTAATGTCTAACCAAAAACAATCGCATTAATTAACGTGCAGGTCGACTCACAGTGATATTCCAGTGTACAGAGGGGAGCATTTTTGGTTTTGCTTAAAATATCAAAATAATCAAAAATTTTAATTTTGGGATCATTAACAATAATTATAGAATTAATAATAGTACTAATTATTATTATTATTTAATTAAAAATACACTCATTTAATTGCTCAACTGAAGAGAATAAACGTTCGTATTTCCTGTTATAAATCGACTTGTAGGATATCCCTCAGTTTAATTTTGGGCTTTCGAGTGCTTTCGGGAGTGTTTTGGAGCGTCGTCTTCAGTGGGATATGAAAGGTTGTTTTTGGCTCGATTTGCTGTTTACCTGATTTTTCAGGGTAAATGATGACAAAAAAAGATAGACAAACTTGACTCCAGAGGGATACTGGGTAGATTTTTGACAGTGGAAATATACTAATTCGACATGGCAATATTTGAATCGGATTAATAAAGCATTCCTGTAAGTTGTCAGGCTCCGGTACCTGTTAAAGTATCCAAAAGTGAGTGTAGTTCTCGCACGGCGTCACATAACAACGGCGTTTACTCTGTAGTTCTGAGAAAGGGAAGTCTTAGAAGACCAATGGGAAAGTAAGCTTCCTTCTCTCTGTCAGAATGATGCCGCTTTTTTCCCAATGAACTCCTTAAAGAAGAAAAAAGCAGTTAACCTTTATGGCAGACAGCTTTCGTATGCAGACGCTCAATTCCTCAACTTTGTGCCTTCTCCCATCGCCAGAGGCAAGAAAGATGGCATTTTTACTGGATCTTACTTGTCGTCATCAAAAATGTGCACATTTCATGTGCGTGTATATTTGTGTATGTATATTTATTTGTGGGTGTTTCAGAGTGAAACGGCAGAACGAGGCTAAAATTCACACGTAAGCTTTTGAAAAGAAATTTGCCATTCCCTCACCATAATGCTCACGTTTTTTACAGTAGCCTGATAGAAAAAATGTTCCCTTTCTCGACCTTATTGGCTTTATTTTAGATGTACATAGCAGAATTAAAGACATCAAACTTGCTTGTAGCTCTTCGTACGCTATTACAAAAGAAAGTCAAAGTTTTGTTTTGTTTTTGTTTTTAATTACAAGACTACCATATCTTTTAAAAGGCAAATGTTGATATTTTTATTTATTTAATGATTCTCATAATAATTTAAATCCCTGCTAGCTTTTATTACAATACTCTTAAGGCTGGTAAAACTAGTCTTTTGTGTGTTTATTTTTTTTTGTTTAAAGAGAGATATACAGCTGGTGAGGTCGAGAACGCAGTGGGTTTACTAGCGCTAAAGTCTTTCTGTTGGTTGTTTGGACACAGTCTACCTCAGTATGTTGTTAGAAAATTTATTAGAGCCACATGCATCTCTCTTTAGTTGTTTGAATTTCTTTAACAGGCTTGTTTCGGGGCAGCGAACACCACGTCCACAATCCCTAATTCGGCCACTAGGGGTTCTCTCTCGCAATTACGAACATAAAATGATTTCCCTTTGGCGATATTTTGATTTTGAAGAAAGCTTTGAACCCAAAGAGTCACTTTAAAGGGTTGTGTCTTTCTTTCAAGTCGTTTTGAATTACACAGAACCAGTTTAGTTGCGCAACAATGAGATAAAATGATCATTTAAAAAGTTTAACCCTGGAGTATTATAAAGGTACAACATAAAATACTGTAGGCCTAATTGTGTGGGGAAAACTAGTACGGTACACCGTTTGGCTCTGTAACGCTAGGGGTTTTATATCGACTATTACATAAAGCACTTATTTGAATAATAAACATTTTCTTTAAGCCACTTGTCTTTAGCTACGCCACGAACACTTTAGTCTGCAATTTTTATTTCTGCGATTTAAGCTGAATTTAACCTTTCAAGTCACTTCCTAAGAGTGGATGACTACTGAATCACAGTTTGTTGCGCAAAAATGCCCTTTTTTATTATTGGCTACGTAGTTACAGTGGGTGTTTAACCGTTTGTGGAAATAGCTTCTTTGCTCGCTGCGATATCTTACCGAACAAACTTTCTGATGCCCCCAAGTTCGTATATAAAAAAAATCGTTCACTGTTTATTTGCTCCAAATGTGATTGTCTTTTTTTTTATCATTGTGTTTTTCTACTGTGAAAAAAAAATTCTATCAATGCCATAGTTTATAGTAAACACGGACTTCACCTCTGCCTCTCCTTACACGTGCGTTCATAAATATTCTTGCGGACAATCCTATGTGCCATAGAAACTCTTTTTTTTTTTTTTTCTCAGGGAGATGTGAGCGTTGGGTTTCGTTTATCGGAGGAGCGTCAATTATCCACTGCTAGCTTAATCGTACGAGAAAAACTAAGTAAGGATGGACAACTGCAAAAACGATGCCTTTTGTGCATCTCTAAAGCATTTAGCATATTTCGTTGCCTCTCCATTGTGTATCGGGGAATAAATTGAGCGCCCCCTGGTGGATCCGTAGTGCCTTGCACAAACCTAAGTATCCTCCAAGCCAAACCTGGCCAGCAAACTCCCTGGACCGGATTGTTTTTCACCCAACATCCTCAAAATACTGGAGCCTATTGTACAGATTTCTAGACATAGGTACACAGGTTAGCACATCTTTGGCTCAATGCTTGGCTCGGTTTTACTGTATTGGTATATGTGAATGATATTCTTTTCTTTTTATTTTGCATTAAGCTGAACTCGTCTCTTCTTGGAAATGCTACGGCTTGTTTTGTGCGCTTGACAAACTGCCCGACGTCGTACGATAGATCCACCAAACAACACCTTTGGCAGCTCCCAGTGTAAATCTAAATTAAGAGACTATAATTTTGATAAATGACCTTACATTTTCACATCAACCCAAATGCGGTTTTCTACAGCAAGCTAGAAGAGCAAAACAGGTCGAGCGCAAGGCATTGTATGTATTTTATTGTTTTTAAAAGGAAAAAGTATTACACGTAGAGATATTAATTTCTATTTTTTTAGTCAAAATAGGGAGGGCAAATTCAATAACTTTTTGGACTGACTGTAAACTTTTGCTATTCATGTACATTACGGAATTAACATTATCAATGTATATAGCTTTCTTTTCAATGAAAGTGTGATGTCTTTTGTTCATGGCATTACACTGTGATTCAGAGATATAAACGACATCGATTTTACTCTCCAAACTGATCGGATGACAATCCCGTTCAGGGTTTGGCCTACAATGTTCTTCTTTGTACGACGTTGCATTGTTGTTTAATTCTTTTATTTCATGTACAACTACTTGTTTGCCATCCAAGAAATGATTGCATATCCTTTGTCAGCATTTTGTATTTGTAAATTGTTACCCTTTTCTTTGTAGCTACGGAAAATTCCTCTACATGGCGATTCATAAAGGTGACCGTTTGAATAAACAATTGTTTTTCAATGTGAAAAACTGGAAAAGACCACTGCAGACTTTATTATAAGCTACAATCGTGCACAAATAAACGTATGATTGATATCTGAAACGATTGACAACTTACACATACAGATTACAGTGAGCAAATCCAGATTTAAAAAAAAAACATGTTGGCCCCAGTTACATCAGCAAGTCAAGTTTTGTTAATATTGAATGTGTTAAATGTTTATTTCTTATGTAAATCTGACATCTTTTGGGGCTTAAATATGACAGGCGGACATTTTTCAAATGGTCTGGCCTGTTTAAACATTAAATGATCATAAAATGATGTGTATTTTGTTTCAACTGTTGTCCTGTAAAATTATCTCTTTGGTTGAAAGTTTCATCATTTTGTTTGTTTCGTTTATCCCTGCTGTTCCTCGTTTCCTTTTGTTTGTTTTCTGTGTGTTTTATTTTTCCTCTGTGCACATAGACGATCCCCACAGCTGTTTTGATTTCTCAGTCCCGTCATTCATCTGTATTGTAGTTTCACCTGTAAATGTTATTTAATCATCAACACACACTTTCCCCTCAAAACTTTCCCTTCGCTGGTTGAAATTGTGCCATTTACGTTGCGGTACACAAGCGTATGGAAAACCACCGTCACTTATTTAAACAAAACAATGAATTCGTCTGACCAGGATCAAACTGTGCCATGATTAACTAGTACGGATCGACAGTTTTAGTTTTTTGAGGAGAGCCAAGCAGTGACGTGTACAGTAAATGTTGGAATGAAATGAAAATGAATCTTGCTGTGTGTAAATTATTCAACAATTAACTGTTTATATGAAATTTATGAATTAAAAATTATTGGGAAAAATGGCTCTCAGTTGTGTCTGTTCCCAAGATAATGGACAGTGTTATTTTTACAGTACATGTTTAATTCACTTTCATTAAATGGAAAAGAACAACCAAGATCAAAATTTCTCCTTTTATGTCCCACAGAAGACAGAAAATCATACAGGTTTGGAACGACATGAGGGTGAGTAAATTATTTTAACTCTTTAGTGCTACTTGCGTGGCCGT